ACGGCCGGTGCCGCCGACCCTGAATGGCGACGACGACGACGGCGAGCGCTCTTGGGGGCCTCTTGGGGGTAGTTTGGGAGCCTCTTGGGTGGGAAGCTCTTGGGGGCCGCTTGGAAGCATTGTGGGGGCCTCTTGGAGCTTCCTGGTGGTCTCTTGGGAGCCTCTTGGGGCTTCGTGGGGAGCTCCTTAGGGGCCTATGGGGGCCTCCTGGGAGCTTCTGAGGCCGAGGGCTCGAAATGTCCGGTCGGGTCCCCCGTCTGGGCTCCTCCTTGGAGCCGTCTTGGGGGCCTCTTCGGCTGTCTTGGAGGCCTCTTGGTCGGTCTTGGGGCCCTCTTGGGGCCCTCTTGGGTCCTTCTTTCCCGGCGGAGAAGGGATGAAAGGAAAGGGGTTTCCCTTCGTGATTCAATGTTGGCGTGTCTGGAGTTTTTCTGGGCTCCGAAATCGCAGCGAGGGAGGCGTCGTATCTAACCAGGGACCATCCCCTGTAACCCGTCCCAGGACTCGCCCTGGTACCCCCCCCGGACGCCCCCCCCTGTCAGTTTCAGTGGGAGAGCAGTGAAACAGGTGCAGTAAGAACAGAGAGGGAGAACAACCCTCAGTGAATGAGCCCATTTGCCTGTTTCGTCCATAGCAACTTTGGCGCAAGCTGTTTGCTAGCCTGTGTGGTGATTTACAGTATCTCACCTCGGTCCGGAGCTCAGGGGGACCAGACGCGATATCTTGGATTGATTATTAAACGGAGTATCTATTTTCTCTTCTCGCCATCCCGCCAATCTTCCGCCGCTACGTGCCCTCCGCCGACCCAGAGAGCATCCTGGACTCGTCTTTAGGACACATTCGTGGACATAGGTTCAGGCCCATTTCAGATTGTGAGGACATCTCGAAGCGAAAGGCTGAGATCCGTGGAGTAGCACGCTCCGCTGACATTGGTAGCGAGACGAAGTGGCAGCCCACTTCGAGAGTCTTAACTCGATTTCCAAGTTCAAGATGGCAAATGAGAATGGAGGCGGCCTAAAAATACCGACGTGGAATGGAGAAGCATCCACTCTCGAGAGTTTCGAGGAGAAGGTCAAACTGTGGGTCCTGGGCACAAAGAAGGAGGAGCGCATATACCTGGGGCCACGACTATTGCAGGCCATGGATGAGGACTCACAGCAGTGGCATGAGGCCAAGAAGGTCGCAACAGAGGATTTGATCAAGGAAGATGGAGCCGAACAGGTGGTATCAGCGCTGAAGGGCATCAGAGGTACGGTCACCATGCAGGAGGCAGTTACGAAGTGGAGAGGGTTCATGAAAGGAGTTTACCGAAACCCGGGAGAAGGTCCAAAAAGATGGGTTTCGAGATTTGACATCCACCTGAGCAAGATCGGGAAGGCCCTCCATGCAGTATGTGACGACATCCCAGCGACAGGATTCATGCATGAAATTATCTTGGACTGATTCTCTTGGATGGGACAGGCCTAGATCCATCAGAGCAGGCAGCTGTGCTGGCGACATCAGGAGCACGTGGCAATTCATACATGTACGATGACGTGGAGAAGGCGCTGGCAGAGCAGTGGTCGGACGAACAACTGGCGGCGCGATATCGACAAAAAGGTTACAAAGCTCGCAGAGGAGTGCATGCCATCTTCGAGGACTCCGATGAGCTGGCGGCCTACGCGGAGGAGGTCTACGAGGAGGCCTACAAAGACGGTTTCGGGGAGGCCAGCGACCTGACCGAGACAGCGATGACAGCCGCAGAGGACCTGATCTCCTACGCGGGCGCGGACACAGGAGAACGAGCAGGAAGCAGGTGAGGACGGACTGGCAGCTGCCGCGTTGCCCAACGAAGGCGGGGACTTCGACGACTGGACGGAGACCGCCTATGCCGCGTCCAGAACGTTCCAAGAAGCACGTCAGCTCATCAACGCAGTGAAGAACGCGAAGGGCTTCTTCCGGGTGGTAGGGCTGGGAGCCTACGACGCACTACCGGGACAACCTGGTGCCGGACGTGGACGCGCGGTCAGCCGTGGAGGACCTCCACGGAAGGGCAAAGGCAAGGAGAGGAACCAATCGAAGAGCAAGCCCAAAGGCAAGGGCACTGCGCAGGACAACACGAAGAACACGACGGCGAACCAGAGGACCATTGACCGCGACACGTGTCTTCTCTGTGGAGAGCGAGGACACCGAGCCAAGGATTGTCCCAATCGGGGCAACGCAGGAACAGCTGGAGACCGACGCCGAGCATTCAACAGCTTCGTGGGGGCTCTCTATGAGAACGATCCGACGGAGCTCATCGGGGCCGCGAATGACGACCAGGAAGAGGAGTACGACTTCGTGGGGTTCAGCCTAGAGGAGTGCAAGGGCTACGCACTTCTGGACGGAGGCGCCTCGAGGTCCGTAGGAGGCGTCGAGCAGCTGGAGTACATCAACGAGAAGCTCGAGAAGCCCATCGAGGTCGACGTGGACCAGAACCTGGGATTCACGTTCGCTGGAGGCGAACGAGCCGACGCTCCATCCT